ATTTTATAACTAAAATTACATATATTTTATTTATTTATTTATTATTATAAAAATATTTTTTAAATTTAATCTCATACATTGCACGAGTAAACATATTATATATATATATATATATATACCAAAAAAGACATTATATACCAAAAAATATATTCCTTATAAAATATGATTCTCTCAAGAATTTGATCTAAGTACTAAATTAAAAATTTATCATTATTTTAACTGATACTCAAATAATAAAGATGTATTTTATAATTTTCATTGGATGATTCTCGAGAGGAAGAATAAGAATACAAAAACATAATTCCAAGATTGGGTTTCATATTAATGAACTCCGTAATACTAAGAAATTGGATTTTTTAAATGAGTCTAGCAAACAAAAAAATTACATAATCCAACAAAATACTGGTCACAAAAATTAAAATAATAATATTACTAGTGTGATGGCTAGGGTTGGATTCAAATTCTGCACTTAACCAAATCATCTTAACCTTCAATTCAAGTCATTATCAATCAAGTTAAAATTCACTACTCTAAGAAAAAAAATATTTGTTGACATTAAGCCCTTTGTTCTAACCAATAACCCTAATTCATTATGTTTTTTTTTTTATAGTAAAAAAAGGGCCTAGAAGCCCAAAACACCAGAAGCCATGGTAAAAATGGATCAAAGATACATCAAGTAATGGTAATTGAGTACATGCAGAAGCAAAATCAAACACTAGCAGACCTATTTCAAAGCTTAAACCTTTCTTGGTCAAGGAATTCGCCACGAAATTGGCCTTCAAAAACACAAAATCGTTGTGTTCCTAACCAAAACAAGTATTAACCATGAGAATCTTACGAGATTACACAAGTATCAAGTCATATTCGTAGGATAAAAACAATAATGAAGAAGTTAGTAGAAAGGAAAAGCAAGAAAATACGTTTATTGAAAATATTTCCTTTTCTTAGGGGAAATATAAAGTACACATATTGTTCATTAGTTTAAAATCTTTTGAAAGATGATTAAAAGAAAAATTATAAGAGTTTAAGTTTAAAATAGACTATATCATACCAATGTAGAGACATGTGTATGTGAATCTCAGGTACCCAACAATGGTATTAAAGTCAATCTTCTTGGTCATATGGGGTCAGACAGCGTGCGAGCTAACATGTGTGGCTAAAGTTCTAAAAGCTACCATTGAATACTCGTAGTTGAAAAAAAAATTTCCTTGAAGGGAGGTTAAACCATGATCTTTTGTTTGAGAAAAAATTTGTTGGAATACAAATAAATTCATATATCATTGGATCATGAGGAAAAAGAAAGATTTATAAAGCACACATAATTTTCATTAGTTTGAAATCTTTTGAGAGATGATAAAAAAAATAAAATTATAAGAGTTTAAGTCTAAAGAAACAATATCGTACCAACATAAAAACATATGTGTATGAATCTCGGGTGTTCAATGTCTTTGATTTACAAAAAAAAAAATACAAAGGAAAGAAAAATAAAATGGGTCTCGCATTAAAATTCTTTCTTTTCATTTTGAGAAGAAAACAACAATAGAGAAAAAAAATAGTAAAAATACTATATCATGCTCTATGTTTACAATAAATAAAAAATATTTTATTTTAAAGAGTGAAATAAATGATTTTAAAATTTATTATTATTTTAAAATTTATTTTCTGCTTTTATTTTTATTTTTCGATTGACAGTTTATTTTTATCTTATAGATGTTCACTTATAGATAATTTTATTTTTCACATGCTTTATTTTCATTTTACTAGATAGATAAAATCATAAGTATTTATAATTTATCTCAAATTTCAATGATATATGCAATTTTGTAAAAAAGAATATGTAATATATATTTTTATATTTTATTTTATTCATATTTTAGTTTAAGATATTTATGTCATTTACACATATACTTATTTTTTTTTCCTCTCATCCTTTTCTTCTCTTCTGTTTCTTATCAAACAATATAATAATTATCTTATTTTCTACTTTTTTTTCCCTTTCACTTTCTTTCCTCAATCTTTATGTCACCGACCAAATAAAATGTAAGAGTGTGTTTATTTTACTTATTTCTCACTTTTCAAGGTTTTTTTCAACACCAATCTACATTGACATTCAACTGTGACCATAAATTCAACTTAATTCAAACACATTATAAATTTAATTTCAATTCCTAGGTGGACAATCAAATAACAACTTTAAAAACAAAATAATTCGTTTAAGCTTTATCTAACTTAACTTTTTATGGCATAAAAAAATATATTTTAAACTTAAAATTCAATACGTTAAAAATTATTTTTTTCCTACATTAATTGTATCAGAATGTGCAAGAGAACATCGAAACTAAAACCATCATCAAGAAATGGTTTTTATATGAGTTCTTAAGTTAAAAACGATTCTTAACTTTTACTCCACTGAAGATGAATAAGATGACATCAATGTGTATAATACGTTCTTTCATTTTCTAGTTAAATATTATCATAAAATTGAGAGAGAGAAAGTTAGCCGTGAAACCTATTGTTGAATTAGTTAAAAATCCAACTAATGAAGTAAAAGATAATAAATTTAAATTTTACATAACTTAATGGAATCCACTAAAAGATATTTAAGAACAAAAAAATGAGTTCTCTCTTTAAATGCTCTAAAAGTATCATACAACTCATCAACTCATTTTGAAGTTTTTAAATAGGCTTCACACACATATACATAAAATTTATAAATAAATTTTAATTTCAATTTTAATTTTGCAAATTTTTGTTGTGCACTAGGAGTTATCACACACATATATATATCACTCAAAAGGTCTCTTAACCAATGGAGACAGGACTTTGTTTGCATCCCAACAATCCTCCCTCAAATAAAAGACCATGGTTTACCCTTGCAGCGGAAACTATTGATCCACGAGTATTATCCAATAGTGGCTCATAGAGCTCACTCATGCTCTAAGTGATTGTACCGTCATTCCATTATGACCTCACGATAGTGAGACATGCCTCCTAACCCTCCACCGTTAGGAAGACTTTTGATACAAGGGATCCCAAACTTGGATCTATCTGCCAACTCCATCATATTCATCAAGCCTGGTCACCTGATTAGACCATCGGCTCTGATACCACTTGTTGTGTACTGGGGGTTACTACACACATATACATGTTTCTACATTGATAAAATATTATGGACTTTGGGCCCAACTTTCACGATTTTGCTTTTAAATATCACCTAAAAGGCCTCTCAAATTAATAGAGACAAGATTTTGTTTGCATCCCAACAATTTTTACCCTTTTCATTGAGAATATTTTTTAAGGATATCAATACCATCTAAACCGTATATTTTGTCATTCTATTATTACATTGTGGAAGTTAGTTAATTTTTTTTAAAGTAATTTACGTATTGTCATAAAATTGACAATTAAATGTGTTTACGAGAGACATGACATTTAATATAGAATTTTAGAATTTAATATTATATTTAATATAACAAAATAAACAAATCATTCAATGTCACTTTTGTCCCGCAATTACCGATTTAAGCGTTGATTTTTTAGGGACCCTTCATTGTATATTATTCTTCTAATTTTAAACACTGTACGGCAACCAAACCAATTTCTGTGTAGGATTAAAATGGTACAAAATTAAAATATTGAGAAACAAACACTATCCATGTTTTAAGGGTTTTAATGTGAGGAAATAAGTACATGTGCATTTTTTTTCTTCTTCGAAGTTAGTTCTCATCAAGAAACTTGATATTTTAATACAAGATGAATCATATGGGCTTTATTTTTATGCTTGGTGCATTAAAAAAATGGAACAGGACATTCGATCGACCAAAGCTAACATTTTGTTCCAAAGGTATAACGAAAGACAAAATAAAAACCGTTTTGTTCCATTTTGACCAAATATATTAATATTTTTATTTTTATGTACTCATACCTAGAGTACCAAATATCAT